TCCTTCTATTTTTGTCCATCATTTGTATGGAGTCGCGGCACTGTGCGCCGACGACTACATATTTACTAGCAGCATGAGCGCTGTTGTGCGCTGCACTACGCAGTGGGTGGCTAAATGCGTGCGCCACTCACCGGCTGGATAATGCTGTTGTGCGAAGCGTAGGCGTTAAGCGTCCAGTTCAGTCGCTTTTCATGTACGCTAATCGAAATTCACAGCCACAAATTTTGGAGGTTGTCGCATGACATATTTAATTAAGTTATGTTTTCAAATAGCGTATTTGAGTGACATGTATGTATGTATGTATATATGTAGGTACTCACCGATACGAGGAGACATTGTGATTCTTTCACAACGCCACAACAGCCAAAGAAAGCGCCTAGCGTGATGAGCACACCAATGCCAAGGAAGACATAGAGCGCTATGTAGTAGTGATTATAGGATTGGGTCATAGACAGCACGAATGTGGGATCGGTGAGCATCCATACCGAGGCTACCACAATGATTAGGCCAATAATCTGCAAAACAAATAAACAAGAGTCGAATATGTACTTACACGTAGTAATTAAAGCAACGTTTGTTGTGCTATGTAGAAAATAATTGCAAACAATTTTTCAAGCAAAACAAAGATAAATGGGAATTTAAGTGAGTGTGAATGGAAAAAATAACAAGATACGAGTATTTGGTAGATGTATGTATAAATGTTTATTTTTGTATTTTCTAATATATTGAGACGTAGAGATGTTGTTAGGCGAAGTACAGTCGACTGAGTTGGAACGGGAAGTGAGCTTTAAATTATTTATAGAAGCAGCATACGTACAGTAATCCCCACTTGAGTAAATCGAATTCAATTTACATATAATTAAAAAAAATGTTTTTTTTTTGTATCCGACTGCTCTCGCGCCACAGGGCCCAAATTGCGGCAATCATCTTTTGAAATTTGACTAAGAGATTGTTTATGGCAAGCGTCAAATTTTTTTAGCTGAAGCTGAGATTCGATCGAGTACTAAATTACTAATTTTGAAACATCTGTTCGATAAGTTAGATGAGCTGCTTTTGTCAAGAGTTCACCCGTTGGCCACAGAAACCAATCGTGGTGCTTACCAGAATTTTTTCTCAGCTAATAAAACTATTTGTTTACAAATGTAGGTACATACTTCAGTAGCGTGGGCCGAAAATCCGCTTTTTTGGAATTTTGACTGGTAATAGGAAAATTATGGTTCATCTCTGTGAAAGATGACATGTTTTGGTCAATATCTTAGACTCGCCCAAGTCCATCAAAGTTGAAGTGCTAAAAAAAAAATTCTGAGCCTAAGATATTCACCAAAAATTTTCATCTTTTTCATAGAATATTTTTTAGGGCATATTTTTGCTATTACCAGTCAAAATTCTAAAAAAAAACGGATTTTCGGCCCACGCTAATGCTCAGGTTCCACTTCGAAAGAAAATCATTTTCTTCGTTCTAACTCCTCTGTTTTTGTATTATCGTATACTCATGTATGGTTATTTACTTGTATATATATGTAAGTATGTATCTTAAATTCTTTAAATAAATATCTTACTAATTACATAATACAATTATTTCTATTGTATACCGCAATATCTTATTGAAAAGCTCGTACATACATATGTATGTATTTATGTACGAATGTTTTTTTTTTGCATACGTGTGTATGTATATGTACAAGTATATATGTAAGTAATTGCTCGTATATTGTATAGCTGAATTATAATAAACAATTGGATGAATCGATTGCGCTTTCTTGCGTATATATTCATCATGAAATTTTAAGTAAACACAAGAAAAATAATTTGAAATTTAACGGTCAAACATATTGATAATCCCTGAACTTGTGGTATATGTATATACGTCTGGTTGTTGTCACCCAAATGGAAGCTTTTTCTACGAGTACAGTTTTATGTCGCCTTTAAGTGGGTAGAAGACTTTTTTGGAGGCGCTTTCATGTTAGAACTCTTTCTATATGATATATGTATGTATATGTATACGGATTCGGGTTGATTTTGAAATTGTGACTTAATCAATCTTTACATCGAAGTTTAGTTGGCCAAAATTTGGCAAAGAACGAGTGAAAATATCAAAAAATTTAATAGTAAATTTTGAAAAAAAAATTGCTTCATCACAGTATGTAAAAAGTCATACTCTTTTAAAATTTTACTGGCTTTGAGCTACCTCTAAACTTTTTCAATCGATCTATGGATGTGATATTCATAATTGCTTCTCATCGATTAATAACAGCGGGCTGCGAAAATAAATACACATGTTTTTTTTTAACAAAGATCGAACCAATTGTATCCGAAGCATTTTGGTAGCCTAAAAACCAATCCGTTTTCGAAATTGCTCCATCACGTCAGTGTGTTGAGATATTTCGATCTAAAAGTATAAAAATAGCTGATTTTAGCCATTTAGTATGACCATTTGGCTCTCGCCCCCAGTACAGTACAGGAATTGTTGCACTTTTAGGACATCAAAATGCTTTGGATAAACGTTCCGATATTTGTTTCAAAAACCCCGCAGGCTTGTGTTATAATGGTTAAAGCAGTATTGCCAATTTTTATCGATATCACATCCATCGTATTTTCTCCGTGTAGTTTAGAAGCTATTAGAGTAAGAATTTTAACATATTATATTTTCTGCATACAACGAAATTCCTATGTTCCTAATTTACATTCATTGTATGCTTCATAAATTTTATCAAATGAAGCGTGATTGAATTTTTTTATGTACCATTTACGCAATACTTAGGCAAAATATAGGCGGGAGATAAGCTCGTAAATTAAATATAAAAATATTAAGCTCCGTATAATTGCTTATTTGATTACCTTGCTATGTATACGTAAGTAAGTACAGTGAAACCTCCTTTGGGCGGACACTCACCGTCAGTCATTTTTTGTCCGCCCAAGAGAGGTGTCCGCTCAATGGGAGGAAGCTTATTTTAGAACTTTTTAATGTTTTAATTAATTGAATAGTCACTATTTCTTATTTTAATAAAAGATATTGATATTACATCGTTCAAACAAAAATGTGCATGTATTTTTTCAAAAGTGCATATTTCATTTATGTGCGTAAGTACATATTAAGTAATAACAAAATAAAAATAAATATAACATTTCAGTCCATAAATTACATAAAACCATAGATTCATTACATAAAAAACTGGGAAATTGTCGATTGACTTAAGTTTTATTTTAAATTTTTTTCAGTGTCAGTACCTTTTTCATCAATAGTTTTCATGTTTTTATCAGTGACAAAATCCAACCAGAAATCTAAATTTTCGGTCCATGTATTTATTATTATCTATTGTTATAAATTCATCAGAATTGGAATTGAATTCTCCAAGGGTTTCTGATAATTCAAATAACGAACTTAAACCACTGCGCAAACCAAACTAAATGTGTGCATAAAAATCACATTTTGTGCGGGAAGTCCCCCTTTTCCATTTAGTAGTCCGCCTATGAGGAGTTCGCGTCCGCTCAACGGAGGTTTTTGTTTGATTTGTTATGAAAAAAAATCTTAATGTCCGTTGATAAGAGTTTCGCGGCCGCTCGATAGAGGTTTTTGTGTCAATTTTATGCAAAATAACTGTCCGCGTCCGGTCAAGAGAGTGTCCGCTTAAGAGAGAGTAATTTGATCCGAAATTTATACTTAAAATTTGGTATAAGAAAAAATGTGCGCCCAAGGGAGATGTCCGTCTAATAGAGGTGTCCGTTAGGAGAGGTTTCACTGTACATTCATATATGTATGTATTGATACCCAGTCGGCGAAATGTGGAGCGTTTTTAAATGAAGGCTTTCCGACAGAGGTTTTTCAATGAGACCAAATCTTTGGAAACTGTATTAAAAAATTGTGCATTTTTTAAGGATGCGAATGAGAAATTTTGTACATTTTCACAGTTACAGAGTGGCGTTGTTTGGAAAGTGGTTATTGAGCTGAACTCAATTTTTTATAGACAACCACACTCTGTGACTGCCAAAATGTACAAATCTGTACAAACGTGCAAATCGTGTGATCCCTGCTTAACACTTGAGCTCCCAAAACAAATCGCCCCAATTAATGCAAACGATATAAATACCAGATTTTTGCAAGCCATTATTTCATTAACTTTTCCTTTTGAAAACAAAACTTTATATTCGATATTGAATTTTACATCCTTGCTTTGGTATTCTTTAAACTCAATGAAAGCCAAATCGATTTAAATGGTGCCTTTGTATACGCAAATGGTATTGTTTTGCACATCTTGGTAGTAAAAATTTTTAAGTGGCACACCAAAATCAGATTGGAAGTTTGCAAACAAAAGCAAAAAAACAAAAAAAATTAACACCACAGCGAAAACAAAAACAAATAGAAACACACAATGACAATTTCATATGTACGTATGCTCGTATGCGAATAAAACCATGTGACATACTTTCAGGCGCATGGCCTAGCAAAAATAACCACAAATCGACTTTTGATGTTTTTATGGAGCACGAGACGTGTCGAGGCGGCAATGCGCGGCTAGCGGTGAGCGGCATAAACAGTATATTTTATGCGATAAAAGTAAATGTGCGATTGCAATGCTCACTAGTAGTAGTGTTGCGGATGGGCCGTGACAGAGATGTTAGGGTGGTCGGTTATTTTACGCGCTTTAAGCTTAATACAGAATTGTACTAATTGACTATATATTGTATAATGTTATTGGTAATGATACCATAAACGATGGCAATAAAAATAAGCATATCGATAACAATAAGCATAACGATATCCATTTCAATAACGATAACAATACCAATATCAATAATGTTATCAATGATGTCGATGAAAAAGTTTTTTACCGTATCGACATCTATAACCTTATCGATAATCATAACAATATCGATAAGAATAAAAACATCGATACCGATCACTAAAACCATATCGATAGCAATAACCATATTAATATCGAGAGGCACATATCGTCGTTTAAAGTACAAAGTCGCATATTAAGATAATGAAAAACCTCATAAGCGAGGTTGCCAAACTTTGCAGGAGAGAGTAAAAGCTGTCTTATTTCAACACGGTTCTCTTTTTCATTCCTAATTAGCTCGACCTTTCATATCTAAATATCGATATTTGGGTATAAATGGATACGGCTTGATGTCAGGTGCTTCCGGTGGGCAAATCTCATTTTCGGCACTCGAAATTTTTGTAAGATGCGAATTTTCCGGCACTTGTGCGGTAGAGTACTGACAACCACAAATAATGTTTGCAAAAATTCTGGAAATTTAGCTATAATTTGTATTATTTTGTTAATTTTCGTCAATATTACAATAGAATTTTACAACATAATCTCCATCTAACCGAATACATTAATCCAAGCTATAAACTACTTTTTTTAAGCCGTCCTCAAAGACCTCTTTCGGTGTCTCCTCAGTCCATCAATAGCCAATGGCACCCAAAGTAAAATAAGTTCGCTATGTTTTCCAACATTACTTAGTTGGGTTGCATTGCCGAATTTGTTCGAAAAAAGTTAGAGAGCTG